CAGACTATATAAACTGCTCACATTGACACTCACATTGCTGGGTCTTGTTGGTGCAAATTACCAACCTGCATCACACATGAGTCACACGGGTTGAACAGCGCATACCGGTTGCAATTGCAAACGTGTCATGTTGTACGGTAGGATGCCAAAATCGAAGAGGATGCCAATAATAGAAAACTTACATTTTACCGTACACCACACTGCTTTTAATGCCAACCGCAGACGATTTTGGCTAACAGCCATCAGAAGAGCTGAATGAAGTGAGGACCTAATTAAAAACGCCAGACTCTGCAGTTCTCATTTTATATCAGGTAAGTTCACGCTATGCTGAATCATACACGTTACTTGTTTTTGATTGCAGCAATGATTTCAGCCAAAACAGTTAAATATGGTTTATTAAAAATTAGTTGGGGCTGGATGCTTGGCCATTTCGTATTATCCAATATTCATTGGGAGAGTGCTATCGCAAATGGATCTGTCAGACAAACGACACTCACTTAAACGTTAACTTTGCGGAAAAACTGCATATCACTGGGTGACGAGCTGTTATAACACACTGAAAGCATTATGTAAATAATATATATGTAATATTTAACCAATATAATTTATCTCTAATACAACAACAAACTCTGTTCCACATTGGATGACATTCCCTCGCTGTAGATGCTAGCGCTCCCGTTTTTTTTTACAACCTTGCTATAACAGGGGTGGCCAATCCTGTTCCTGGAGATCTACCTTCCTGCAAATTTCAGTTGCAGCCCTTATCAAACACACCTGTCTGTAATTATCAAGAGGATTTCAGGTCCTAATTAATTGGTTCAGGTGGGTTTGATCAGGGTAGGAGCTAAACTGTACAGGAAGGTAGATCTCCAGGAACAGGATTGGCCACCCCTGGTCTATAACATCACAAAGCGTTTTCCTGGTTTAGTTTCTTCATGGTTTCACCCCTGCGTTGTTCTCTTGTTTTGCCTTGTTTGCCTACATCGATCATTTCGACCCAACTACACTTCTGGATTTCCTTGTGTGTACCTGTTTGCTCCGGTATTTGACCATTGCCTGTCTGACTAATCTGAATAAAGATCTGTTGACATCTGACATTTAATTTTCACTAAAATAATTTGAAACATTAAAACACTTACATTTTAATTGTTTTTAACACTTTTTTCTTAGGATTCATAAGGATTTAAGCTAGTTCATATGGACTTAATATAAGAATAAAGTAAGATTTTATTTTTTTTAAGTAAAGAAATGTTTAAAAAACTCAAAGGTTACTTTTACTATTTTGATAACAGTTTACAGGTTTGTTAACATTATATTATTTCACATAAACTAACAATCAATCAATACTTTAATCATTTAAATCAATTATTATTGAACCTAAAGTTGTTTTTTCTATCGCATTTGATTAAAACAAAATTAAGTTGTATCTTTAAACAGTACATGGACTCAAACTAGCAATGAACAACTGTGACCTTTATTGTGACGTTTCTTTGTTTTGAGTCAAACTGTTATGCTAATAATAAATTTTACAAAAGTAATAAAATACCAGGCGATGCAGTGGCGTATTAGGTAGTGCTGCCGCCTCACAGCAAGAAGGTTGCTGGGTTGCTGGTTCGCTGGTTCGAGTCTCGGCTCAGTTGGTGTTTCTGTGTGGAGTTTGCATGTTCTCCCTGTGTTCGCGTGGGTTTCCTCCGGGTGCTCCGGTTTCCGCCACAGTCCAAAGACATGCGGTACAGGTGAATTGGGAAGGCTAAATTGTCTGTAGTGTATGAGAGTGTGTGGATGTTTTCCAGGGATGGGTTACGGCTGGAAGGGCATCCGCTGGGTAAAAATGTGCTGGATAAGTTGGCGGTTCATTCTGCTGTGGCGACTCCGACCTAGGCCGACAAGAAAATAAATAAATGAATGAATAAAGTACCATCACTTTTTACTCCTCACAGACATTATTGCTGATGATGCTGTAATAAAAGCATGATATCTTTTCATTTAATATCCAACATGCGTAAATAGAAATACATTAGCTGTAACGGTGCAAATATAATGGAGGTTATATAACTTAATCGGTAGGCTTAGTTTGAGTAATACATGCTTCAGTGAATGAAATGTATGTATTTATTTAAATGACATCTAATTTATTAATAAAACCCATTTAAGTGTTTTGAGGATATTTAATGTATTCTGACCCACAGTAGCCTCTGATTAGCTATTTCAGTCGTTACTTTAGGTCAAACTATAAAACCTTTGCATCTAATTTGACTTTACTTTTAGGTTATATAAATACAAACCGCTATTTTACTGGAACAGTGTCTTTTGAGCACTTACGATGTCTGTCGGTCCTCTAAATGTGCTGGTTTCAGACTGTTGAATGACTTTTACCCCTCGTAGACTGCTTGGCGCGATTATGCATTCACAATGGTATGAACCGTTAAAGGGGTGGTCAAATGTATATTTATATTGTCTATTATTTTAATTATTAGTATTATTATTTAAGATACATATCAGTGAAAAGTATTTCTCGCCAATAACAAGCTGACACCCCTACACATCTCGTCTTAACTTCCTTGAGGGAGGATCATGCGTTATCTAGGAGGGTCAATCCCCCCAAACTCCCGTGTAATTCGCACCCTGATTGTACCCGTTTAAACCGCATCCTTCTTCAAATAGAAATATAGCAATGCTTATAGCTCCATCTAGTGGATGAAGCATATAATTTACTTTTATACTTTACTTTTAATGTCCACACAGAGGCTCTTAGCATAAATTAATATCATATACAATACAGTATACATGAACTTACATATCTTTAAAACACATAAAGCATATTACCACTACTCCTAAAAATAAAGAAATATAAATACTGAATTATATTGTATTTGGACATCATTTTAATATTGTATTATTTGTATGTAGGTGACACGGTTGACTCGGTGGTAAGCACTGCTGCCTCACAGCAAGAAGGTCACTGTTTAGAGTCTCGGCTGGGCCAGGTGGCATTTCTGTGTGGAGTTTGCATGTTCTTCCCATGTTGGTGTTGGTTTTCTCTGGGTGCCACAGTCCAAAGTCATGTGGTACAGGTGAGTTGAATAAACTAAAATGGCCGTAGTGTATGGGTGTGTGTGTGTGTGAATAAGTGTGTATGGGTGTTTTCCAGTACAGGGTTTGGGCTGGAAGGGCATCCACTGTGTTAAAACATATCCTAGATGGTTCATTCCACTATAGCATACCTCTAAAATAGAGACTAAGCTGAAGGACAATGAATGAATGAATATTTGTATGTAATATTGCAGACATTTTTAAGTTTCGACTGAATTTAGCGACCAGTATACAAATTAAAACAGTATGTGTTGTATATAATGTCCCATGCTGGTGTTATTATATATTTTCAGTATTATTTTTGGAGTGATTCTACATCATAAACCCCTGAGACCCACAAGAAGAGACTCTGGAGGCTGTTTTGTAACCAGGCGTCCGGAAGCAGCAGTTATCATGAGGAAAAGGCCAGTGTTTCTGCTGAGAATATTTTGTACCGAGACTGACAATCTCAGATGAGCTGATGATGAACCAGTGCTGTGATCACAGACAAAACTGCTGCCAGTGATGGGTATTTACAGCACTTTGAGCTTGAAATCCTGAATACAAATTGTTGAAGATTTATATAATTTTAATTAAAGAGAATAAGAAATTGCAGCAACTGATTTACTGAGAAAAGAATCCATATCCATGAATCCTTCTATAGGCTTTATCTCTTTAGGGAATGAATGAATGAATGAATGAATAAAAATAGTGTAAAATATTTAAAAAATGAATAAACATGTATTATTATTATAATTATTATTATTATTATGTTTTTAGTGATTATTATTATTATTATTTTTAAACCAACCAACCAAAACAACAACAGCAACAGCAACAAATGATAATAATAATAATAATAATAATAATAATAATAATAATAATAATACATTTTTAAATTAAAGACAATATCTATTTAAATATTATATTGTCATTTGCACGTTTTTATTTAATCTTATGTTGTGATTTTATTGCAATTTATATGTAAAATCTAAAAATATCCATTTGTTAAGCAGGACAAAACAGTATTATAGCAAAGAACAAATATAACAACAGCGGTAACAACAACAACAACAACAACAAAAACTGTTTATTAAATATTTTTTGATATCATAATAATAATGCATGTAATAAATAGAGGTAGGCTATTTTTATTTGAAATTATTTAACGTTTAATTGTTTTATATTATTTTAATTAAATATTGTGATGATGATGATGATGATGATGATAATAATAATGAATATTATTAATAATAATAATAGTAATAATAATAATGATGATGCTTATTGTCATCATCAGAATATATTATTTAAATTCAAATATATGTAAACAGTATTGTTTTATTAATATTATAAATAAAAATACTACTACTACTACTACTACTAATAATAATAATAATAATAATATTAATAAAAGTATACATTTTCTTCAATGTAATAATAATAAAAGTAATAAATAATAGTATTATTTAAAAATAATTGAATATTTCTTCAATAATTGAATTTTATGTTGTGGTTTTATTACAATTCATATGAAAAATATAAAAATATCTGTTTACAAAGCAGGTCAAAACAATATTATAACAAATAAAAAATATAACAACAGCAGCAACAACAACAACAATAAAGTTGTAAACAAATACATTTTTTATTAAAAAATTTATATTATAATAATAATGCATAAAATAAAAAGAAGAAGCCTATTATATGAATTTATTTAACATTTCATTATTTGATGATGATGATGATGATGATGATGACCAATAATAATAATAATAATAATAATAAATATTTTTTCTCTAATTGTCGATTTGTTTATTTTTATTTATTATTTACGTTTAGGATAAGCCATCTTCATCTTCAATCTCCCGTTATCTTCCTAATCAGCATGTAGTGTTGATCTACTGTACTGTTGACTTTCCTGAAGGTTATAATGGGAAAGTGTGAATCTCACTGATCCAGAGTCAGTCTCTCCCGCACATCCGGGTGTCGCCTCCACAGCGCAGACTCGTGCGGTGATTGCAGCTCTGCGTTTCCGCGTTAGCAGCGGGGGGAACCAGCCGAGGGGAGGGAACGGAACACACCGAAGATTGGCCAAATCTAACCGGATTACTCTGCCCGTGTAGTGATTAAAATGAAAACCAAGTGACACTCGACCCTCCGGTCCGTGTTTTAGGGAATGAGTGTGGGATTATGGCGCGAGACTGGATGACAACACTGTCTGACATGTGAGGACGAGCACAACAACAGTGTGTCCGTGTATGCACATCTCTGCGTTCGTTTCGCATTCGCTGGAAAACAACATGAAGAAGTTTAATATCAGGAAGGTGTTGGACGGATTGACCGCGGCGTCTTCTTCCTCCTCCTCTGCCGCCGCCGCGTCCCCTCAGTCGGGGAATGACATGATTCAGGAGACCCTGCAGTCCGAGCATTTCCAGCTCTGCAAGGTGGGATTAGTTACTGTGATCTCATTCGGGTCGGGGGGGCCAACAACTCCATATTATAAATAAAACGCGCGAGAACGCATTGAGGTATAATTGGTTTAATATTTGCATATTCATTCAGTGACAACTATATATATATATATATATATATATATATATATATATATATATACATACACACATGTTAGAAACGGCTTCTATTTCTCACAGGTGAACAACAGGATAAACTCAGGTACACCTCATGTGCTTTATTCAGTGTTAAATGCTAATATGTGTGTTTGAGTGTCATTTTACATGATATTTATTGCCATACTTCTGAAAACAGCCGCAGATAGTTCACCTTATATGTTGAAGATAAAATACACCTTAAATTGAACTTTAGAACTGTGACTCACTATTGGTAATTCAGCATGTACATTTAATAATGTTAAAGAGGTGTAATATGTATTAATTAGATTATAAACCTTACCATTTGGTTAGAGTGCAGTGAGTGCACTATTCTGTGCTTCCAAATGGCTGTATTTAAATTTCTGTCGTGTTTCGTTTGGTGCAAACAGCCAAATTGCTTATCACTGCAAATCTCCTCTTGTAGCGTGTTAGGACACACTGTTACAACGTAACCTGCTCCCCTAATGTTCACGTTTGCAATATTTATTTAATTTATAACCTCATGTGGAACTCTGAATCTGCTTCTCATTTCGGAGATTGTTACTGTCCATCGCATATCGGTCACGGTCACATGCTTTGACAGTCCTCCTGACTGAATGAATGAAATATGTGGTTTGACAACAAGTCAGCCTGGGGTGCTGAAATATAACTGGCTAAGCTGGCATTGGCAGGTTAAAAAAACATAAATAAGACAGCCGTTCTGTCACTGAAAACATATTTTTAAAGCAGAATGTCTGACTTCAGCATTGTTTTTCAGATAAACAAGAATGTTCACTTAGCATGTTTCTTAAATATCTGTAAACATATTATGGTATTTTTATGCTTTAGAAGAGCCAAAAGCTACAGCACCTTTAACACACCTTAACAAGTGGGGCACAGTGAAAATCTATCAAATTCTACTTGTGATTAGCACTAACCACTATCAAAAGATCTAGCCCTAATAAAGCTCAAAGCGAGTAGTAAACAATATAGGAAGTATGTCACATGTCGTCAACGAATGAATGTGCGAATATAAAACCCAACTTTTCCTCAATGCTACTGTAAGAAATTGAAGTGGATTGAACATAAAACAACTAGTTTCCCCAAAGAAAACCTCCGGAATTGTGTTGTTTCAGCTCATTTTATTTAAGTAGTTCGAACAAGCAGAGTGATTGTTTTGAGTGAATGTGTTTTATTTATTTTTATTTATAATGATTGACTGGAGTAATTTCTGTCACACGGAATAAGTGTGGCAGTCTCTTTTGTCAAGAAAGACCTTGAGATATTTTATTTGAATTTTAGACTTGTGTGAAAGTGTGGTTTTCGCAGAGTGTCAGTTCCAGATTTCTGTTGATTCAGCTCATTTTATACAAGAAGTTTGAACATGCACTCAAAACAGTATGTTTCATAGATTTTTAATCTATAATGAATGATGGAGTCATTTCTGTCACAAGGAAAGGTGTGTCAGTGTCTTCTGTCATGATGATATAATTTTTTCATAGATAGATAGATAGATGGATGGATGGATGGATGGATGGATGGATGGATGGATGGATGGATGGATGGATGGATGGATAGATAGATAGATAGATAGATGAGCAATTCCATGCAAAAAAAACCTCGCCATGAAAAAAATTACGTTTTCACCAAAATACGAAAAGTTTTAAGTATTTTACAGCACTTTAGAAGTACTCAGGGATGTCTCTATGTTTTCAGACAATTATGTTTCATTTACCAAAGTCACACAAGTGGCAATTTAACATCTGTCACATCTATAACGGAGAAATACCACATCCATAACAAAGCTTTTTCCTCATAAATGCAAAAATATTACATAAAATAATACCAAACATGTTTGTTTTATAGTGAGTGGAATCTTATCCTTTTAATTAGCATTAATTCTTTTAGATTGTGCAGTTTAATTCCCAGAATTTCTACTAAGTATGTTGTATACTGTAAGCTTGTATACTTTTTTGGTCACGTCCATAACGCTTGTTTATTTTCCTCATTTAAAGTATAAAACATGTTTACAGTTTGATATTTTTCTGCTCCCTTAATTCTGTGGTCAGTTGTTCTAGAAAATATAAACGGGTGTTTCAATCTAATGTTAACATATACTTTCTGTCTGAATTTATGTTTTAAATTTTTACTGCGAATGTCACATCCATAATGCTGGAATTGCTCCTTTATAATTTATTTATTTATTTATTTATTTATTTAATCATTATTATTTTTTTGTTATAGTTTTTACTGTGCACCACAGTAATTCAGGTGTTATTCAGCTGTCAAAAGGCAAATTCAGCTCCTCTGCATTCTGTGATGTGAAACTCATCCCTAATATACGCTTTAATTTCAATCTAATTAAATCCTAATTGAAACTCTCAGTCCTTTCCTCATTACTAAACCAGTAATAAGGAGCCAGGCCTTTCCAAACTTCAAATGATTGCCGTTTCTTGTTTGTTTTGCTCCACATTGTTCATAGTTATGATGTTTATTATTATTTCGAATATAACCGGAAATACCACCAGTCTGCAATGTATATTGACATACTCAAAGTATATCAAGAATACGCCTGAGGAGGCTTCCGCATGTGCAATGTTTAACCAATATTATGTTTTCTCAGCTCCACGTTAATAAGGGAGTCTTTTCTTATGAATGTTTGACATGAAATGGTCCAAGGGAAAAAACAATTTTGCTTAAAAGGAAGTGGACATTACTATTATTATTATTTACTAGAATTTTGAAGGGAAAACAAATTGGGAATATTTATACATATCTAGCATGTGTGTAAAGCACAAAAAAAAATAAAGGGAAAGTTCATGAAGAAAATAATTATGTGATCATTTACGAACATTCCACTTGTTTAAAATCAATTGGAATTTCTTTTTTTTTGTTGAACACAAAGATATTTTGAAGAATGCTGAAAACCATTAACCATTGACTTTCATTGTGTTTTTGTAGTATGGAGTGAGTTAATGGTTACAGGTTTTCAGCTTTCTTCAAAACATCTTTTTTGTGTGTGTTCAACAGAATAAATAATCCCATAAAGGTTTTGAACTACTTGAGGTTGAGTAAACACAGAGTAAATAATTTTTTGGGGGTGAATTAGTCCTCATATTCATAGGTTTATATTTATGAATTAGCTTTAAATGCATAGTTTCTGACAGCTTTGTGTCATTGAAATCTATAATGTATATTGCATATTATTGTCTATTTCTTTAAATCATTGTGTTTGATCATAGATATTTACATTATATGTCGCCTATGCTATTGTTGTCTATGCGAAGAAATGCATCAGTAGAGCCACCATTTTTGTACAGGGTAGCACTTCTTTGAAATGAATGTGGGACCAAAATGCAGTGAAGGACTGGCCATCCGGAGCCCAAGATATATACATACATCTATGATCGGGAGTTTTCCCGGTGGTCAGTACACACTTTTTTTTTATTACGAAAATAATCATTTAAAATTATCATCAGCATGTGTGACAGGATACAGGTTAATCTCCACTGCTGTATTTATATCTGTTATTTCAATGCATAAAATAAACCTGATTTAACATCCACAATCCGGGATGGAAGCGTCTTATTTTATAGTTGTTCTGACATGCGGCTGTGCTGATGAAGTAAAGCTGAAGTAAATTGCTGTAATTCATTACACACATGCACTGTTTTAAAACATTTTAAGTATGTGAAACTTACTCTTGATCACATTCGATGATGATTTATGATCCTAACGAACTGAACAGACCTTTTATTCCCGGTTGCTTTGCACACGTCTGGTCTTGTTGACATGATTATACATGTGGCTACCGGAACATGTTAATACGCGCAGCTGTCAATCAATTCGGTGGGCGGGGGGATTAAAACTATTGAAACTTAATTTTTTGAGTGAAATGCTAAAGATCCCATCCGATTCAATGATCTATGCTGAGCTAAGCTAAAAGTGCTTCGAGATTGGCTAAATGGATTCATATCGTGATGTAACCGTGTAATATCGATAAAATGGTATAATGGGCAACACGGTGGCTCAGTGATAAGCTCTGTCACCTCATCAAGAAGGTCACTGGTTTAAGTCTGGGCTGGGTCAGTTGGCATTTCTGTGTGGATTTTGCATGTTCTCCCTGTGTTGGTTTGCGTTTCCTTAGGGTGCTCCGTTTTCTACCCACAGTCCAAAGACATGCGCTATAGATTAATTGAATGAACTAAATTGGCTTTAGTGCATGTGTGAATGTGAGAGTGTATGGGTGTTTCCCAGTACTGGGTTGCGGCTGGAAGGGCATGCGCTTCGTAAAACATATGCTGAAATTGTTGGCGATTGCGCTGTGGCGACCCCTAATATAAAAATGGAATAGCCAAAGGAAAATGAATGAATGACATTAGACAAATGCTGATATTTAATAATTCAATATATTGTGATAATGAACTTGCATAATTTTGATATTGTGGGAACTTCAAAATACTATTTATACCATTTTTAAACTCTGAAAGTGCTTTTTAAGAATATTTTTTAAATGAGTTTACTAGAAACATGTTTAACAAAGCAATACTCGAAGCATTTTTTAGTTATTATATGTGTTAAAGTAATCTAGATTAGGTCAATATTGTGATAACATTTAATATATTAGCTAGTATATATAGTATATTATCACGATATCTTACTACTGAAGAGTGAACAATTATTAAATTTCTTTGAGCGAAACGCTAATGGTCCAATCCAATTCAATGATCTATTCCATAGATATATACATTAGATGTCGCCTGGCCTATTGTCGTCTATTGGACGGAATGCGTCAATAGCGCCGCCATCTTGCTACAGGGTAGCGCTTCTTTTAAATGAATGCAGGTCCAAGGTACAGTGGAGGACTGTGGCCATCTAAAGCCAGAGATACACATAAACAAATATACCTGTGATCGGGAGTTTTCCTGGATGTTAGTATGCAATATTTTTTTATTCTAATTACGAAAATTATAATTTTACATCACTTTTCTACATTGATGGATCAGTGACCGCACGGGCATTCCTGACAAAAAGCTTGTGTTTGTATGTACAAAATGTACTATTCACCCTCCCTGTTAAATTTAATCTAATCATGTCCTGAAACACACCTCCTCTCCTGCTTTCAGTTCTCATACTGACAGAGTTAGCGATTCTTTTGTGAATGAATCGTCCGAACGACTCTTTCACTAACGTTAGCCGACAATAATACAAGTTTCTGGCAGCGCAGCATCTCGTTGTCATATTTATTTTGCATTGTTTGCTGATTTTATTCAACAAAACTAGCATAAGCCGAGTGTTTAGTGCGAGTTGGAGCTGCTTTGCCGTATGGTGAATGCAGTAAGTGACTGTTATCATCAATAAGGTTACCTGATTAGCACAAAAGTTCAGAACATACAAAAACAGAAAAAAACGTAATATTACCTATGAAATGTTCTGCCTTTGTGCTTTGTTTTCTTTGTTTGCTCGTTTCTACACTCGTAGACAGCGCTAAAGTTCCGCATCTTCACGTATTAACACTGTCTTGACTAGTGCGGTTGAATGACATTTGTCCTGGGAGCACTGACTGTACCAATGTGGCGGCGCTATTGACGCATGCTCAGGGTCCCTATGCGATATCTAGTGTATATATCTATGGATCTATTCTAAGCTAAGCTAAAAATGCTCTCACCTGACCCGGAGATTGGCTTAATGGATTCATATCGTGAGCTATGATGGTGTAATATCATGATAATACATATTATCACAATAATCACGACCAAGAAGATCTGATACTATCATAAGACTAGTTGAGCCTGGTTTCTCTCAAGGTTTTTTCCTTCACTTTCGTCAATTGGTAAAGTTTGTTCCTCACCACTGTCACCACTGGCTTGCTTAATTTGGGACCTGTGGAGCTGCGCATCAATGGATTCGCTCTTCAGTGTTTGGACTTTCAGCAGGGAAAATTAAACCACACTGAACTAAACTAAACTGAACTTCTAGACTGACACAATTTCAATTTACTAGAACATCTATGTTTGATGCAATCTTCATCGTAAAATCGCTATAGAAGTAAACATGAATTGAATGTAGATTGGTAGGAGGCAAAATATAAAAAAATAAAATAATGACTCTTTCAAGCCATTTAGTGCATGATATTTTTATTTTTCACTGTTTTGAAAACCTTTGCAGATTATTCACATTAAAGTTCAGTTACTTGACAACCTGTACATAAGATATTTTCCAAAAACCCATATGATCTGCTCTTTAAATCTTCTTTTCACATTAAAAGACTTTAAAATAGAGCACTTGGTGTGTGTGTTTGGTCAGCATTTGCTTTCTGAGCCGGAATTTTCCTTTCCTGAACTCCATTGTCATGTTTGTAGTAAAATGCAAATCATCTTCTGCTTCACAGACAGTGCGGCATGGCTTTCCCTATCAACCCTCCTCCATGGCTTTCGACCCTGTGCAGAAAATCCTGGCTATTGGCACACAGAGTGGAGCCCTGAGACTGTATCCTTTTCATATGAAGATCTGGCAACTTAACCAGCCCAACTTACTTGGTGAGGAAAGTGTCAAATGTGCTACTGTTGTTTGTGTATATTTAAACAAAGGCAATCCTCCTACCCTTCTGTGTTGGAAGCCTTGTTGCACATAATAATTGACTTGTTCAAAGCATTTTTTTTGTAACGAACATCCACACAAACATTTTATTATGTAAGTTGCAAAAAACAAGTAACTACATCCTCTAGCAAATCAGCTACTGAGATGCTTGCTGTTCCCCCAGGAGATATGAATAGTTACCCGAGAGAAGCATCATTGGAGTTACTGGCTCTGAGAAGGCAAAGGAAATTGGCATGTGAGAAAGTTACTGCGAAAAAAAATCAACATGCTTATTACTTTTTAAAATCTCAATGATATTGTTACTTGGAGTAGATGATTATTGTTGATGCTAATGTCTGGATATCATTTTGATAGACAAAATAATTTATAATATTATAATCGATGTACATTTTCAATTAACATTTATCTAAAGTTTAATATTTAACAGATTTTAAAGCCTTATGAATTAATATTATTTCTTTTTTTTTAAAGACTGAAAAAAGGGGTGGGTCATATGTTATTTAAAAGCACCCAAATATTGTGTCAGAGTCTCTTATAACAGGCTTGGTCAGTATTCAGGTCAATATTCTCAAAATGTACATTTTATTATTAGAATAAATTTGCCAATTTTTTATTTATTTATTTATTTTTATGGTTAGTTTGAATCAAACTGGTGCTTCAGGTCTCCTTCCTAAACTCCTTTCTTCCATAAGCCAGTAAACCAATAAGTACTCTGATTGGTCAGCTGGCCAAGTCTGTTTTTGATTGATCTTTACATGTACAGCTGAAGTCAGAATTATTAGCCCCCCTAAATTATTAGCCCCCTTGTTTGTTTTTCCCCCCAATTTCTGTTTAACGGAGAGATTTTTTTAAAACACATTTGTAAACATAATAGTTTTAAAAAACTCCTTTCTAATAACTGATTTATTTTATCTTTGCCATGATGACAGTGAATAATATTTGACTAGATATTTTTCAAGACACTTCTATACAGCTTAAAATGACATTTGTTGGCTTAACTAGGTTAATTAGGTTAACTTGGCAGGTTAGGGTAATTTGGCAAGTTATTGTATAACGATGGTTTATTCTGTTGATAGTCGAAAAAATTTATAGCTCAAAGGGGCTAATAATTTTGCCCTTAAAATGGTGTTTAAAATATTAATAACAGCTTTTTTTCTAGCCGAAATAAAACAAATTCTTTCTCCAGAAGACAATATATTATCATACATACTGTGAAAATGTCCTTGCTCTGTTAAACATCATTTGGGAAATACTTAAAAAAGAAAAGAAAATTCAAAGGGGGGCTAATAATTCTGACTTCAACTGTATATGTATATTAACATTATTAATCCATTTTAGAGTGTTCGTATTAGACAAATGTATTACTTTGATCATGCTGTCATTAGACGTGTGGCACGATGGTTAGCACTGTCGCCTCACAGCAAGAAGGTCAGTGGTTCGAGTCCCAGCTGGGTCAGTTGGCATTTCTGTGTGTGAGTTTTCCCCATGTTGATGTGGGTTTCCTCCGGTTGCTCCGGTTTCCCCCACAGTCCAAAGACATGCATTATAGGTGAATTGAATTAACTAAACTGGCTGTAGTGGGTGTTTCCCAGTACTGGGTTGCAACTGGAATGGCATTTGCTGCGTAAAACATATGATGGAATAGTTGGTGGTTCATTCTGCTGTGGTGATCAATCAGAGGCTAAGCCGAATGAAACTGAATGAATAAATGGCTGAAAAATGTGTTTACTCTCACAGTTTTTAACTTGCTGACTTCTTTCAAGTAGTCAGTGAATACAAAGGATAATTATTGTTATCATGCAAACACTATATGCTATATCCGTATCAGAGAGGTGTGATAAATTACAAAGATTTTTAAAAATATTTTTCAAGCATTTGTGTGTTGCATGCATTGGCAGGGCTTGACAGTGTGACCATTTCACTCACATTTCCATCTAAAAAAGATGTGTGTGAAATGGAAAATTTATTTAGCGACACTTGTGCGATTAAATGTGCAAATTTTTTTTTTTTTTTTTTTAAAGTGAAGTTTATTTATAAACACATTTCGAGAGGGTCACGTGCTTATAATTTATCACGGCTGATCTCGCATTTACTAAGCACGATCTCCCAATCATATGATTCCCCTTTAATACTATAAATATACTATACTATAAATAACCACAGTTTTAGTCCATAGATATTTTCATATGGAAGAACCCCTATAAATGAATGATATCATTTATAGGGATGCAATATTTAGCCCATTCCACTATTAACCACACTTGAATTCAATACAGTTAATTAATCATAAAGGCTTCTCGACTCCGCGTTTCTGTTGCATGGAACAAAACAGCTGCAACTAAACTAAGTACTGCCAATACACACACATGTTGGATTAACTACAGCAACAGGCCATTCTTCTTTTTTCGCCCTTTTGCATCTTTTCGGCACGCAAGTTTAATATTTCCAATAGAGACATGCACATATTGGGAGCAGTGCGCGTGTAGCTTGCAAGCGGACCGACGTTCTCGTATTCTCCAGGAGCACACAGTAGAAATGATCTCACACTGTAGTGGAGAGTTGTGCGTAACTTTCAGTGCAATGTGAACAAACAATACTTTAGTCGAATTGTTACTAATGATTAAAATGATTATGTATGTATGAACGCAGATAATATTATTCAATAGCCCCTTTCACACAGTGATACCGGTAAATATCTGGAAATTTTACGGAACGACTTTACCGGTATATTCAAAAAAGTGCTGTTCACACAGGCGAGGACGTTGCGGAAATTTTCCGGAAAAGAGCATTCACACATCCATTCCAAAATACCGGTAAATTCTGACATCATTCACCACAAATGAGCTTTAAACGGCTGAGCTTGTATTTGTAAACATTTGACTAAATTACAAACTCTGTGGATGATCAATATTGTGAACAACTTTCGCAGGATCACTTCAGATGTTCATAATATGTGCGTGTGCAGGCGCTCATAGGCGCACGCAAAGCTTGAAGGTAAACAAACAACGGCTTATCATAAGCATCTCATCGATGATTATTTACACAGTTGACATTAAGAAGAACATATAAACGTGATCTGACTAACTTCTAGTAGCTAAATGTGTCTGGAAAAATATTCAAAGGCTTTTATCCTCACAAACCGCGCGGACGTAAATGCGTCTGACTGTTGTGATTGGCTAAAGCAGACGTCTCACGTCAGCACGTTCTAGACGTGCACGCGCTTATTACGGGAATCTTCCTTCTGCATTCACACAGCGCAGCATTCCGGCAAATTGCCGGTAATGTTACAACTTCTCTTTCCGGAAAATAGCCAGAACGAATTTACCGGTATTTTCAAAAAGGACCTGTTCACACATACAACCTTTCCGGAAAATTGCCGGCAATTTTCCGGAAAGGTCTGTATGTGTGAAAGGGGCTTGTATTACTCAAATACTATTTTTATTTATTCTTATTTTTATTCATTTATTCATTGTTCTATCATTTATTTTCATTGTAAAATTATCACTCATGTTTAAATCAAACTTTTTCATTTATTTTTATGTCCAAAGAGAGAAATGGACTATCGTTTGTTTTTTATTTATATTTTGTGCTGCATTTGGTTACTGAGCAGCAGTAAACAACCCAAGCTCATTCTGAAAACGTAGCAGGCTCATTCTGGAATCGTAGCCCCGCAGACATTTCTGGAGACCGCAAAATACGTCCCGGGAGGTACGTATTTGTGGAGTTTTTGTTTTCGCGAATCTGCGAGAGGTCGCTGTGCGCGCTTTTTTTCGTCTCGAACGCCTCCCGCGAGAACAGCGCGGGCCCCTGGAGGCCGCTGTCGAGCGACCGACTGACCGACTGACTGAACGAATGACTAGGTGGCCGGCCAATCAGCCGACCCGGCCATCCTCCTCCTCCTTCTTTCCTAAACCCAAGCGAAGATTTATGAAAGCCATGCAGAAAAAGAAAAGCCCTTGTCCGATTTTGACCGCGTTTTCAGATTTCACCGCGTTCTCGCCCCGTTACGAACTTGTTCGCTTTATTTTTGGATTCTGTTTTTTGTCTTACCTGATTTTTGGAACCGCTGTTCCCCGGACTCAAACCCGGTCTCGAACGCTGCCGGCTCCTCCTCGTCTTCCGGGCTCCGCCGTCATAACACAACAAGCTAACCGGACAAACTGGCTGCAGAGGAGGTGAGCCGTCAGTCCAGCCGGCGAGCACATAGAGTAGCGGCGTCACACCGCCCTGTAGCGTTTGCTTGAAAAAAACTAAACACAGCCATACGTACCTCCGACCACGTAAATCGCGGTCTCCAGAAACGTCCGTAGGGCTTCATTTCCAGAACGAGCCTGGGTTGCATAAACCACACAAAAATATAAGCAGTTTTCTTGTGATTTTCTAAAGTAGTAATGTGAATTAATTAAAGATTTGAATTAATGCTTAATAATCATGATAACTGTGAAACCATGGTTATTCTTCTGACTAAATTGTACAACCAAAATCTATAATCACTGCATCCCTAATTGTTACGCTGTTTAAAACATATGAATGTGTTGAATGTAGAAGAAGCATACTTGAGCAACACACTGATTTTGCTTCTAAATACAACATTTGAATATGTTTGTAAAAAAAAGCCACATTGTGCAATGCAGAGATGGTATGTAGTTTCAAAATACAACATATTAACATTTTAATGTAGAACAAGCCAACGTGAGTGTCTTAAGGAGCAAAAGCTACAGCATATGGGCTCTTATATTGCTGTTGTGTCATCATTTATAACGCAAGTCATATCTCTCCGGCCCCTCATTTGGGATGCTTTTCATGAACTGGCCCCCATGACAAATTAATTGAATAGCCATGATATAAGGGACCAAAAACTAAGCCTTGTGGTACCCCACAATGTACTTTTGATTGACATGTCGCCTTTTCATTACCTTCTCCAAATTGATAACATTTCAATGCAGTACCAGCAATGCCAACATAATTTTATAAGCATATCTAGGAGAATATTATGATCAATAGTCTCACAAGCAGCACTGAGTTCCAACAAACACTCAGAGAAATGCG